CATTTTGGAAATTTGCTATATGATTAAATTAACAAACTTTTGAACCAATCTATTTGCACACATACTTGATAAACGAAAGTTTCTGCCTGGTACACCAGTGTTGCAGTGAGAGGCCAACTCCCTCCCCAGAGGTGGCGACTTCTCCAGGACCGATATCCACTTCCCCTCGTGATGCAGGACCTACAGCAGCCCCGAGACGCACACAAGTCACTGCAGCCACTTCTGCGGAGCCAGATGGAGGTGCACAAGGTAAGAACCCGGCACTTTGTTGTCCTTGAGGTGGTGACTTCCCCTCGTTATGCAGGAAGTACAGCAGCCCCGAGACGCACACAAGTCACTGCAGCCACTTCTGCGGAGCCAGGTGAAGATGCACAAGGTAAGACCACAGGACTTGTCTCAAGGATAATGTCCTTGCTTGTCTCTTTTTGGTACCATAATTCACCTGACTTCGCCAGTAAAGGTTAAACACCTGGGAGGCAAATGAGATCTAGCAATAGCAGACACATAATTCAAGTAAGACGAAAATACCACTGATATTAACGTCCCACGCAGGTATCCAGGTCCGTCTTGCTGGCGGCCCCACCCCGCTTGCAGGCCGAGTGGAGGTGCGGAACGGGACCGGCCCGTGGGGTTCCGTCTGCGATGACCGGTGGGACCTGCAGGACGCGCGCGTTGTCTGCAGGCAGCTCGGCTTCGGGACGGCCCTGGAGGCGAAACTGGCGGGCCATTTTGGGGAGGGTTCCGGGAGCGTCTGGCTGGACGAGGTGGCCTGTGGAGGGAACGAGACGAACCTGGGAGACTGTCCTGCTGAGCCCTGGGGACAGAATGACTGTTCACACAAGGAGGACGCAGGGGTCGTCTGCGAAGGTATATATAGTATGTCAGCAGTAATTGAAGACTAATATATTGTCCACAATCCAAATTACTTCAGCACATGTTTTAAACATCGAAAAACCTCAATCACTATACAGAAACGTGACATCAGGAATAGGTCAGGGCACACCGTCGAAAAGTGCACACCGCTTGCCCTCTGTTGAGTTTGCCCTGATGTAGATTTTTGATTCCTCTCCTGTTCAGTATTAGCCATAGTACACTGGGCCCAAAGTATTATCCAGTGTGCGGAGTTAGGGTTATTACGTTGGGACCTATGTGCTATGGGTCTGGCATCCAGGCTAGTTCAGCATCATCTAGTGGGCTCAATTAGGGATTATGGTTGTATTTTGGTTGTTATGTTAGCCACTATAACATTTTAACACGTGGTTTTTCCATCTGAACGTCATTATTATGAAAGCTAAAATCATCTTCGCACATGACAAAACAGAACATGTGCAAAGACAACTTCACAAGAGTATTTGCAATCACTGAATACCGAACAAAAAGTGGTAGAAATCGCAAGTTATTATATTTGGGGTAAAATGTTCGTCAATCATTATCATCTTACGTCACAGGCGGTGTGCCCGTCCGACTGACCGGAGGTCGAAGTCCGTCAGAAGGACGTGTGGAGATCCGAAACGGGGAATGGGGGTAGGTCTGTGATGACGGGTTTTACGACAGGGACGCCCAGGTGGTCTGTAGACAGCTCGGGTATCTTCGGGGAGTCGCTACGGTGGGTGGAGTTTATCCTGAAGGGACGGGAGACATCTGGCTGGAGAATCTCAGCTGCGCAGGAAACGAGTCTTCTGTGGCGGACTGTGGAATCAGCAGGTGGGGAGACCATGACTGTACCCACAAGGAAGATGCGGGAGTCGTCTGTGTACCAGGTATGGTGTACACTCATTACGCCAAAGTTCATCCATCACTAGTGCTACAGCCTTTTCCCAAATACTAGTAAACAATGTTGTCAAAAGTATTCCGTCCCTCCGTATCATCCAACCAAAATACCCTGCACAGCGTCAGACTGCAGTGAGCACTATGCGGCAGGAAAGACAGCAAGCGGAGTCTACACGATGGAGCATGAACCTGTTGTTTCTCAACGTGAACTTTCTACGCCAAATTATAATCACTAGAACTACAGCCTTTACCTGATAAACATGTTATTTTGCCTCTCCTATCATCCAACTAAACTGACCGCCTGTTGTTCATCACCACACAGCTTCAGACTGCGCGGAGTACTACGCGGCAGGACAGACTACAAGCGGAGTCTACAATATTAGGCTCGGCTCCTCTAACGTGGGGATCTACTGTGACATGGATACCGCAGGTACGTACTGTATGAGAAGGCATGGAAATCTGTCACACATAATGGCGTATTGCTTATCTTAATTATTCAAATTTCTTTTACTTACATTAAGATATTTTATTTAACTGTGTCTGAGGTAGGAGAGTAAGACTATAAATGTTGATAATTTTTTTTTTTCAAATTGGATTTTCAGGAATAAGTGTCGCATTTATTGTCAAGGTACTATATATGATTGAAGTAATAATATCATCCCGTTTTCCTTCTGGTGCCTTCCACACAGGGGGAGGTTGGACTGTTATACAACGACGACAGGACGGGTCGGTTCCCTTCCACCGGACCTGGGAGGCGTACAAGCACGGGTTTGGGAACAAGAGCGGGGAATACTGGCTTGGGAACGAGAACATCCACCTCCTGACCAGTCAGAAGAATTATACCCTCAGGGTGGATCTCCAGGGTTGGGACGAAGAAACCCGGTACGCAACGTACTCCAGTTTCAGGTGAGTAAAACACCCACAGGTAAAGTATTGTCAACTGAATACACATTAAAACATTTCCTGTCAGAGTGCTTTTATCCGAGGGAACTTTTTATTGCAGCATAGACGATGTCAATCAGTACGTGTGACTGTGTGTGTGTATATATATATATATATATATATATATATATATATATATATATATATATATATATATATATGTGTATATATATATATATATATATATATATATATATATATACACAGTCACACGTACTGACTGACATCGTCTATGCTGCAATAAAAATGTATATATCTGTGTGTGTGGTGTGTGTGTGTATATGTATATATGAATATATACATGTATATATATATGTATGAGAGTGAGTATGTGTATGCGCAATTAGTTCGTTAATGTATGCCTACTTATCGATGCACGTGCTACAAAGTATGTGAGCGCCATTATTAAGTTTATATAATATTTCCATCTAGGGTGTCCGGTGAGTCGGACCAGTACCGGCTGCACATTTCCGGATATTCAGGCACCGCGGGAGACTCCATGGCGGGCGGTCATACCATCAACGGGCAGAGGTTCTCCACTGTGGACAGGGACAATGATGTCCACAGCAGCCTCCACTGTTCTCAGCCGTTCGGACAGGGCGGCTGGTGGTTTGGGATCTGCAGCTGGTCCAACCTCAACGGCCGCTACCTGCGCAACTGTAAGAGCTCCTGTCCACTCTGGCAAGGTGTGGTGTGGAAAACTTGGAGAGACCTGCGTTACTCCCTGAAGTCTGTGTCTATGAAGATCAAACCATAAGCGACACGAGTATGATATGCCACTACCGGTGTGATATGTGTTGAATTTCCAAATCACTAAGATTTTTTAACATTGAATGTTTGATTATACCCAAGTTGCATAATACGTGGTCGGGCCATAAACAACATATTATCTGCATTACCCATGCGATATCTGTTACCATTTTTAAATAAATTGTATAAATTGGAATGAATCTGATTATATCCGATTTTGCTCAGAATGACAATCACACCTGGTTCACAAATAAAACCCAACCATATGCATGTGTTTCTTAAGCGCGCACGATGTAACAGTCGACCATACAATCATTCAAGCTATCATCATCATCATCTGGTCAAGCTGGCATACCTGCACTAAACAAGCGTTTGGAAGATTTTTGGTATCTTCTATTCTATTTTAGCCATTAAGGCGTTGGTTAAAAATACATAAACATAGTAATGTTTTTACTAATCTGTTGACAACGCTTTCTATTGAATTGTATCTGTACGTTTTGGCAATCATACATGTCAATACTTGGGTCAGCAAAGGCAGACTATTAAAATGGGTGATGACTGACGTAATACTAAAAGTATAAGTAGATCAGAATCTAAGATAAATACAAATCCAAAAAAATGAAATAAATTAATCATTAGAATATATGCTGGAGGGCGATGCATAATGGTACTATACATAGTTGGGTAAAAAAGAAACTCTAACTTAAAAGGTATCTTTTTGAGAAGTTAAGAAAATCGGGTGCATTCTTCGAAGCAAGTAACTAACTAAGCTGTGTTCAATAGTTAAATGACAGTTGTTAGATCAATAACAGCGCATGTAATGTCTCTTTTGCAGTGTATCTTAACAAGATGCTTTAATTAAAAGAAATAAAACGTGATCCTTTCTTCCGTGTGTTTATTGCTAGATCGTCGTGAAAATCTAACCTGTAAGCATCTGTCCACATAGATTTTATCGGTCTAGCTACTTAGTAGTCTCTGGTATGTTGAATATGTTGTATAATATGTACTTCTGACACCCAATATCTGTGGAATCTCGATGGCCTATTCGATAGCCATAACGGTTAACCCCCTGCCTTATCTCCCCATTTGATAACCACAATGGTTAACCCCCTGCCTTAGCCCCCATTTGATAACAACAACGATTAACCCCTGTCTAATCCCCAGCCCCCAATGGTCAATCCCTTGCCTCCCATTTCATAGCCACAATGGTTAACCCCCTGCCTTAGCCCCCATTTGATAGCGACAATGGTTAAACCCTGTCTTAGCCCTCCCTTTCACAGGCACAATGGCTAACCCCATGTCTTAGCCCCCATTTAATAGTCACAATGGTTAACCCCCTGCCCTGGTCCCATTTGATAGTCACAATGGTTGACCCCCTGACTTAGCCGCCTCATTTGATGGCTACAATGGTTTACCCCCTGCCTTAGCTCTCCCCATTTGATAAGCAAAATGGTTAACCCCCAGCCTTAGCACCCCACTCGATAACTACAACGGTTTACCCCCTGCCTTACACCTGTCGGATCCATGGTTGTGCTTCTGACGCTCAGGTGATCTTTAGCCACACCTGAGCTGGAGAGGAGCCAAACGTCCGTCAGGTCGTTCAGAGGCAGGTGTGACGCAGTTCCTTAACTCAACTTTTCCAAGAAATTTGTCGTCTTAAAGTCAACCGTCTGCCTTCTTAAGATAATCAAATTAAGAGTCAGAAAGGATTATATTTATGATTATAACCAAGGATGATTGTTAATGTCAAGATATCTTTACACCCCTCCCCAGCCCGTTCCGGAGTTCTGCCCTGACATTCTTAAGACATGTCAGTCTCGCAGCGTAAACAGAGCTTCCGTGAGAAGCTTCAAAATCAGGTGTGACGCAGGTGCTTTAGTTTACTTCCTCCAAGATGGCGAGTGTGTTACTGCTCGCTGTCTTCCTTCTGTGCAGCAGTTTCCCTGTCGGCGCCCAGGACACCAGGACCGACCAGGCCGGGTCCGTCCTGCGGGAGTATGTAGACAAGGGCTACTGTACCTACACCTATGTGGTTCCGCCCGGGTCCCGTACAGAGGGCTGTGCACCGCCGGGCCTCGAGAGCCAGCTCGCCGAGACCAAGGAGGAAACGGACCGCCTGAAAAATCAAGTGGATCGCCTGTCGTCTCTGGTGGAAACCTTACTGAGTCAGCAGTCTGATCTGTCCAACCAACTGTCAGAGGAAAGAGCCAGGAGTGCACAGCTGGAACAGAAGGTACAAGAACAAGAGACCAGGGTGCGGAATCTGAATACGACCTTGTACGAGCATGACATGGCCATCAAACAACGTCAGCAGGTAAGTGAGAAACTTTTCACTTATTCATGACATTCCTTCTTCATATTCTCTCGGCTATTCTGCACAAACAATACATAAACATGGGATGATAAAGTTGAGGTAACCAGGTAGAACAATTCCGTAATACAACACAAACTAAGCAACTCTGGAAAAATCTTTTGAGGAGTCAGAAGTTTCAGATAGCACCAACTATCTTTCATAAGTCACTGAATACAATTGTAAACTCACTCTGCTGACAAAAAAATCATAGATCGAAGGCTCACCAGCGGTCAAAAACAGAATTATTCAGGAACCTTTTGTTTACCGTATCCAGAACCACAAGCAAACTTTGCTGTAGTTTTTTAGGTCCACTCAAGCGTCCAACAGGTCAATAAGCACAGGTTCTACACGCTTTTCTAGCAAGTCAAACCCCATAAAGTTCACTCTCGGTTCATTTCCACCCATTCGCTGTTTTCTGTTGTTTTTTGCCATGTATTTTGTCGCTGTATACTTGTATGTTTGGTGGTGAGTTAAAAAAATTAGCTATAGCTAGAGTACCTCACTACCATGTATTGTCCATGTTGAAATGTAAATAAACTAAAAAAGGATGAACAGTAATCCTCTGCACTGCGATATAATTGTATACTTTTAAGTGCATGTTCCTCTAAATCTCCGGTCTAAAAAGTAATTGATCTGTATTCTCTACCTTCCATGTCAGTGTACTTGTGAGAGAATGGAGCCACTTGACAGCATCTCTTCAACTGCAGCCACGCTGCCCACTGAGACAGTGTCCACCGCTGTTGGCCTGATAACCGGTGAGAAATTTGCACTGTTTCTTTAGATCACGACATTCACCTATATGAGCTTTTGTCAGCAAAAGGAATGTCAGGCATCCGTGAATAGTGCCATCAGGTTGGTAAGTCACTGAGTAAAGAGATTCTTTCTACACAACCAAGTATTTTAGGCTCCGTTTCAGTGATCGTCTATCACCTTCCTAAGGGCAATTCTGACTGGTTCACGTTGCACTGCAGCACAGGTGTCGCTGCTACAGATGCTATAAATATTGTACATTTGGGGATGCTTCTATAGCAGCGACACCTGTGCTGCAGTGCAACGTGAACCAGTCAGAATTTGGTGTGTGGTCAGGTGCATAACTGCGTATAAATATGCAAATTTTTGCATACTATTATTATTTCTCACCACACAGCGTCAGACTGCGCGGATCTCTACGCGGCAGGACAGACTACAAGCGGAGTGTACAACATTAGACTCGGTTCCTCTAACGTGGAGACCTACTGTGACATGGATACTGCAGGTATTGTATGGGGAAACGTGAAAATCTGCTATACTTTTGTATCGCTTATTTGGAAAGTTCAATTATTTGTCTTATTTTGAACACTTTATTAAGTTGTCTCTGTGGTGGGAAAGTGACACTATAAACATTGGTCAGTTCTTTTAGATTAGATTGTCTGGAAGTTCGTATCGTGTCTTATTGTCATACTAGTAATACATGTTGCAACCAAGAGTATCACGTTTTCCTTCTGGTGCCTTCCACACAGGGGGTGGTTGGACTGTGATCCAACGGCGGCAGGACGGGTCGGTTCCCTTCGACCGAACCTGGGAGGAGTACAAACACGGGTTTGGGAACAAGAGCGGGGAATACTGGCTTGGGAACGAGAACATCCACCTCCTGACCAGTCAGAAGAACTACACCCTCAGGGTGGATCTCGAGGATTGGCGCGGAGAAACCCGGTACGCAACGTACTCCAGCTTCAAGTGAGTAAAACACCCACAGGAAAAGTATCGTCAACTGAACACATTAAAATACTTCCCGTCAGAGTGCTTTTGTCCGAGGGAACTTTTTATTGCAGCATAGACGATGTCAATCAGTACGTGCGAGTGTGTGCTTGTGAGTGTTTGTGTATGTGTGTGTGTGTATGTAGGTGTGTATAATACATGTAGGTATATATAATATATATGTATGAGAGTGTGTATGTGTATGCAATTAAGTCGTTAATGTATGCCTACTTACGTACGTGCTACAAAGTATGTGAGCGCCATTATAAATTTTATATAATATTTCCATCCAGGCTGTCCGGTGAGTCGGACCAGTACCGGCTGCACATTTCCGGGTATTCAGGCGACGCGGGAGACTCCATGGATTACCACAACGAGCGGATGTTCTCCACTGTGGACAGGGACAATGATGCCTACAGCGGCTACCACTGTTCTCAGCATTACGGACAGGCCGGCTGGTGGTTTTGGAGCTGCGGCTACTCCCTCAACGGTCGGTACCTGGGCAACTGTAGGAGCTCCTGTGCAGCCTCGCAAGGTGTGGTGTGGTACCACTGGAGAGGCTGGAGTTACTCCCTGAAGTCTGTGTCTATGAAAATCAGGCCATAAGCGACACGAGTACGATATGCCACTACCGGTGTCACATGTGTTGAATTTCCAAATCACTAAGATTTTTTAACATTGAATGTTTAATTATACCCAAGTTGCATAATACGTGGTCGGGCCATAAACAACTTATCTGCATTACCCATGCGATATCTGTTACCATTTTTAAATAAATTGTATAAATTGGAATGAATCTGATTATATCCGATTTTGCTCAGAATGACAGTCACACCTGGTTCACAAATAAAACCCAACCATGTGTTTCCTAAGCGTGTACGATGTAACAGTCGACCATACAATCATTCAAGCTATCATCATCATCATCTGGTCAAGCTAGCATACCTGCACTAAACAAGCGTTTGGAAGATTTTTGGTATCTTCTATTCTATTTTAGACATTAAGGCTTTGCTTAAAACTACATAAACATACTAATGTTTTCACTAATCTAACGACAACTCTTTTTTTGCATTTTTATTATTTGCAATGATACATGTTATTAGTTGGTGTAGCGCAGGCAAACTATTAAATTGGTGATGACTGACGTAACAAAAAGTATAAGTAGATCAGAATCTAAGTTAAAATACAAATCTCAAGGTTTCAAGGACTTCAAATCCAAAAAAAATGAAATAAATTAAGCATTAGAATATATGCTGGAGGGCGATGCATAATGATAATATACATATTGGGGTAAAAAAAGAAGCTTTAAGGAATCTTTTTGAAAAGTTAAGAAAATCCGGTGCATTCCTCAAAGCAACTAACTAAGCTGAGTTCAATAGTTAAATGGCAACTTATTATATTAATGCCAGTGCATGTAATGTCTCTTTTGCAATTTATTGTAACAAGCTGTTTTAATTAAAGGAAATAAAACGTGATACTTTACACTTTTTTCTTCCGTATGCTTATTGGTGGATCTTCGTGAAATCTAACATGATGGTAAGAAAGACTGGATGTCTAAGCACTCCATTTCATAGCGACAATGGTTAACCCCCTGCCTCAGCCCTTCATTCGATAGCTACAATGGTTACCCCCTGCCTTAGCCCCTTATTTGATAGCCACAATGGTTATGCCTTTGCCGTTTCCCCCCTTTTGATAGCCATAACGGTTAACCCCCTTGCCTTATACTCCGTTCGAAAGCCACAATGGTTCACCTCCTTCCTTACCCCACCCCCATCCGATAGCCGCAATGGTCAACCCCCTGCACTAGCCCCTATTTTAGAGGCACAATGGTTTTCCCCTTTCCCAAGGCGCCATTTCATACCCACATTGGTTAACCCCCTCGCCTTACCCCCTCCCGTTCGATAGTGGTTCTCCCCTGGTTTTTCACCACTTCAGAGTTGTGCTCCAGACCTTGTTCGTTGTGCGGCTGATATCCACAGCTGTTTCAAGTCACGGCCAAGATGGCGAGTTTCTTACTGCTCGTCGCCTTCCTTCTGTTCGGAGCTTCTCTGCCCGCGCCCAGGCCGGGTACAGCCCGCCCGGGGCCCGTACGGCGACCGGCCGCTTGAAAACTAAAGTGGATCGCCTGTCGTCTCTGGTGGAAACCTTACTGAGTCAGCAGTTTGATCTCACGGCCCGGGTTGACAGTCTTTCTGCCCAACTGTCGGGGGAGAGGGACAAGAACAAGGAACTGGCCCTAAACTTGACCCAAGCACTCCACAAGTTGGACAGCATGACGTCTACCTTGTACGAGCATGACTCGGTCATCAAACAACGTCTGCAGGTAAGTGCCAGAAACTCGTAACTTTCCTCATATTCATACCTTTCCTTATTATTATATGAGTTATATAAGTTTTGTAAGACCATAAGACTTTTAGCCGTAGAATAAGTCGCCCGGTTTGGTAGTCGTAGTCACTCTTTAAAATGTGAGGCCACATCTCTTACGCCAAGACCGTCAACTGAAAAACAACTGTCCTTGGTTCTCTCAAACAACAAGATCAAGTAGGGCTGTTTGTCTGATAGGAGTGACATTTTGGCAAGTTGTCAACGTGAAGAGTTCATCGGCTTTCACCCCAAAGTTAGCCTGGTATCCAGTCTGATCGTGGGCTGGGCCGCAAGAGCTCTGTCCCGCCCGCCTCACATAGGAGAATAGGACCACATAGGTTTCCCGGTGTGTATTTCACGAGAGATTGATTAGCCCTCCACGAACATCGTGTTGGGGGAAACCAAATTCCCAAGCATACTGTCTCTTATTAGCGTAACTCTCCTACCGGGACGGCCTGTTGCACTGGGCGGGGGAAGCTATTAGAGCCCCCGAAGGCACAGCCTGCCTGAACGCCCCAACACCCCCAATCACGTATAAGACTGGATACCAGGTTTACTACAATGGCTACAGCATTGCTGCTACTATGTTATTCCTCTGGTATTCTGTTTGGCCAATTTCTACTATTTTTTCTAGCAACCCGGGGAGCCTGGAAGAGGGTACATAATTACCTCCATGAAAAATGGACGTATTGTTTTTGGCGTGTCTGTCTGTATGTCTGTGTGTGTGTGTGTGTGTGTGTGTGTGTGTCTCTATCTGTGTGTGTTTCCGCAACTTTGTGGTCAGCATAACTTCAGAACGCCTTCATGGATTGTGATGATATTTGGTATGTTGGTAAGTCTTGGAAAGACAAAGGTCAAGGTCAAATATGGGCCTCCTGGTGGATGACCTTGGTACTGCAGCAGAACTTCCGTTTTTTTGTATCTTTTGTCCTGGACATGCTATGGTCTTGATTTTTAAGTGGTGGATAGCTTTTCCTGCCAGTAATAAGTGCTGTGGATTTGGTCCCCCTAGCAGCTTGTTCTGGACCTGCAGGGGGTTTCTGGGAAAACCTTTCAGAGCAGATAAATTCACAAAGGAACAATGTATTTTCTTGATTTTTGTTATGTGGGTAGCTTAGGCAGAGATCTACATTATTGGATACAAATTATGCAAATGTAACTTCATTTGCATAATTAATGAGGGAATTGTGTAATTCCAGCGTTTTACATCATGGGTCTTTGATACATGTAATGTTTATAATCTATGGCAGGAGGAATATCACCAGATACCAATTATGCAAATACGGACCTAATTAGCATAATTTATCTCAAAATTCTATGACTCCTTAGTGGTAAATGATGGGAATTTCATACTTGGAACATGTGTAAGTTAATAAAAAGTTAACATCACGATGCATTTATTATGTTTGTGTAGAGGTCATTTGCATAATTAAAGAATAAATTTACATGTCAAACCCATATTTCATGGAGGTATGAGATCTCGGAACTCTTGTTATCAAATGTCTTCCAAACAAATACTAGTAGCCGTTCTCTTGTTCCCTGTTGGTGTCCATCTGTCATTTATTACGAACCACCGGTTTAATGCACGGTGCTGTTGTCAGGCAAGTTAGTTTAACTCATGTCCAGGCGTTATTTGTGAAGATCGAAAGCTTTTGGAAAGCTGACCCAACATTTTAAATACACAAGTTAACTATAATAAAGTTCACCCGGGGTCAGAAACAGAATTATTCATAACCCTCTTGTTCCGCCTGAAATCCCTCGGCCCGAATCGACTATCAACATAATCTCCAAGCAGATCCCTTTCGGTGGCAAAAACGGACAGTATCAAATTGGCCAGGCAGTATCCAGTAGCCAGAGAAGGTCGCCGGCCACAAAAAAATATAAATAATAATATAAAAAGCTAACGATCATTCCCCCACAACCTCTGCTTGGAGAGTACTGTCAACAAGCTCTGGGAGTCAGTGAACCAGTTCAGGAGACAAATTATCAGTTTCTCAGAAGCCACTGAACGGCGATAAGTACCAAGGGGTCAGCTACGGCTGATTTAACTAGTAGTTAATGTATTGTAATCTGGCTGATGAATATTCCATATTTTGTGCTCGTTTTCTCTGCTTGGGATAGCCTGGGTGCCAGACCCATAGCATACTGGACACAAAGTATCTTAGTGCTCACTGCGATACTTTGTGTCCAGTGTGCTATGGGTTTGGCACCCAGACCAGGCTATGCTTGGGAGAGTTTCAGCCGATCTTCACTGTTCAGTTTTGTTCTGACCTTGCTACCTTGCATCACTTCGGGAACCTATGCAGACGGTCCTTACGTATTTGTGACGATTTACCACATTTGTGGAAGAATTGACATGGTGGCTATGACACCTTTGCAAGATGTAAAACCTGAGACACGATTGTAAAGGTTGAATCACTCACATCGGGAAGGTTTCCTACTCTTTTCGATAAGTGTGGTGGGTTCATGACAGCCAGCAACATGTCTGGACTTGCCATGATGTTTCTGTAGGCTTATAATCTTGGCGGCGCCTATCTCCTCTCCACTTCTAAAAGGCTCTGTGTTTCCTATTTTCCAGTGTGCTGGTGAGAACCTTTGAGGACTCCGTGTTTCCTACTATCCAGTGTACCTGTAGTTCTAACGACTCCGTGTTTCCTACCTTACAGTGTACCTGTGAGAACCCGGTACCGGTAACTGAAGGGACGTCTCCCATAAAGCCTACAGGTCCCGTAATCGGTGAGAAATCTACACTTTTCACTAAAGATTACGTTAACTCGATTACGAGATAATGATAAGGGCAGTGGGCTGTACATTTGTGTGCCCACTGTGTCTAGGGCATGGTGATGGAAGACAGAGCTCATCCCTCTCATTTCAACGCAGTTTACCTCCACAACAAAAGGGGGCCG